TCTTCTTTTATATATGCAAGAAAGCCTTGACACCCTTTTCGAAGGAGGCGATTAGTTCAAATGCAATAGATTAAATATGATGGGGAGTCTTCTTTGACACCATTGAAGTAAAATACTGGTTGATTCGGAATGCTAAAGGTAACCATTTTCGTATAACAATCAATACTTGCATGGTATGCAGAAAGCCAATCCATGCTTAAGATTAAATCAAAATCTTGAATTTTCAGGAGTATTAAATCAACCAACAGTTCCTTTCATTCTATCTTTGTTACACATGATCTATACACTATATTGGTGTTAATTGAATTTCCCATCATTGTGGCTACCTCTAGAATGTATTCTAATTGTTCTGGTTCTACCTTTAAGTGGCATGCAAAGTGTGATGACACAAATGAATGAGTAGATCCAGGATTAATCAAAACATGAGCTACTTTTTGGAAGATAATAAGAGTACCTTGCATCACTGATTTTGAAGCCTGAGCGTCTTGCTCAGTGATTGCAAATACTCTTCCCTTCATCTACGGCTTTTGAGCTATCTCTCCCTACTTTGGACGCTGTTGCATCTGTAAGCTAGGACATTGTCTAATCTGGTGTCCCAATTTTTCACTTTTAAAATAGGCTCCGGTATTCCAATAACAAGGGTTGGGTCCATAGTTTTTCCCACATTTCTTACATGGTCCTATTGGGCTTTGAAGTGGCAAGGGCCTTGGCTTCTTGTTTGCCCTTTCAAACTGTTGTCGATTAGATGATGTGGGTCTAACATGGCTCTTCTGATTTTTCGTCTTTTGGTAATCTTCAAAATCTTTTTCGACAATTTGGGCTCGATCCACTATTTCAGCATAAGTATTTAATTTCAAAACTGATATCGTGCTTCTGATAACTAGCCTGAGACCCCTTTCAAAATTTTTCACCTTTCTTGCCTCATTGTTAATCATATGTGGTGCAAACCTTGCCAATTCAGTAAACTTGGCATCGTACTGTGCTACTGTCCGATTTCTTTGGATTAATTCCAAAAATTTCATTTCTTTTTGGTCACGAATAAAATCTGGGAAATATTTTTCATTAAATACCTTTAGAAATACTTCCCAAGTCAAGGGTTTATTTTCTTTGACCAATACTCCTTTTGCCATTCGCCACCAGTGTTGTGCTTCACCTTCTAACATAAAGACTGCCAAGGCCACTTTCCTATCATCAGGACATTCCATTACCTCGAATATTTTCTTCAATTGTATAATCCATCCCTCGGCTTCTAGTGGGTTTACAGCACCCTTAAAAGAAGGTAGGTTCAATTTCTTAAATTGTTCCATATTACTCCCACCATTTCTTGTAACTGACTACCTGGGTGGATTGTTGTTTTCCATCTGATGTTGCATTAAAGCAACCATATTTTTCAAGGCTTTGAGAATTCCTTCCATATTGGCTTCAGCTATTCTGGATCTTGACTTTGTCCCCTGTCTGTACACAAAATAAATGTGATTTTAAGTACATTCTTTTTAAATTTCTTAAGAATCTTAAACCTATTGCTTTGATACCATAATTTGTCACACCCCAAGAAATTTCAATACAGATATTCTTGAGATGTGACAGTCCAAAACATATATACATCTCTTGATAGGACAAATTTATAGTAGCGAGGTCTTACAAAGTAAATAAAGAAAGCTACCACAACAACAATATCTTCCATGGTTGATCTTGACTAGCACTCAAAATGAATCCGCATTTATCCTAAAAAAATGTTTATCATAGTTTGATGAGTTTGGCTACTCAGTAAGTGATCATCATAATCCTAAAAATAATCATGGTTGAAAGATATCAATATTTTCAAAAAGGAGATCTATTAACATAAATGCATCAACAGTTTCACTTTCAATAAATGCATAATTAAGTATAATCCGAATAATTGAAATGCATATAACAC